TTTCGCATCGCCCCCGCCCTGGGGCTCATGCTCGAGCGCGAGGTTCCCGAGGGGGGCGTCGAGCTCCCCGACGGCCGCTTCGTCCCCGCGCGCACAAAGATGGGCATCAACCCGTGCGTCGTCACGCGCGACCGCGGGCTCTTCGGCGACGACGCCGACACCTTCCGCCCGGAGCGCTGGCTGAGGGTGAAGGGCGAGGAAGGGGAGGCGGAGTATACGAGGAGGGTGCGCCGCATGCACGAGGCGACCGACTTCATGTACGGGCACGGGACGCGGGTGTGCATGGGGAAGCACCTGGCCAAGGTGGAGATGTACAAGCTCTTCGCGACGCTGTTCGCTGCGTATGATGTGAGTCTTTTCCTGGATGGATGTAATTTTGGGATAGTGCTGACGAGGAAACTTTGCAGATCAAACTCACAGATCCGGATCATGAGTGGAAGTACCACAACTCTTGGTTCATGTACCACAGCGACATTCCCTGCACCATCACTCGTCGCAACAAGGCGTGAGAGGTAAACAAGTCAGTATGGATGGATGAGATGGAATTTAGTAATGTGAGATGGACAGCTTGAATAGGCATAGGGAACACTGTTGGATTGGCTCTCTTTTTGTAAGTCATGGACCGGGAGTTGGAGCAGACCAACCAACTCATACGACAGATTGTCTCGGAGCACCATGTAATTATTTCGGCAATCCCACATATTCACTTGAGCTGAACATGTAGCATTGACCTTCTCGCGTATCATGACTGCAAGGGATATAGAGATGAAAGCAAGATAAAAGGGGGAATCAAATTTTAGTTCTTCCAAATAGTAGGTATCGCAATAAACTAGGTACCCAATATCCCATCATGCCATGCAGGTAATACCAACAGCAACATTCTCCAAAAAGCCGCCGGTATTATGTCGTTAAAGTAAAAATATCCAACACCAAATATGATCTAGAGTAAATCAAGCAAAAAATATCAACGAGATCAGAAAAGCAAAGGCCCGCCTTAGAAAGCAACCAGGGCTGCCACAATACCAGCAACAGCAACCACCATCGAGTTGCCGAGAAGCTTCAAGCCCATCGAGCTCATGTCGGACATGGTGCCGAACAGTGTAGGAGAATAATCGTCAGGGGTAGACTCGTCCAGGGTGCCGTTCCAGCAGTAGGAGTTGAAGCACTCCTGGCACTTGGCAGGAAGAGCGGACCCTGTTCGGACGAGACTGCGGTGCAGGATGGCGCAGCCGACACAGGCAGGCCAGTTCGCATCACGGGTGGCGTTCAGCTGGGTAGCGATGGCCCATCCGTTCTCGATCATGGCATCTCGTTCAGACTGGTTGTAGCTCATCTTGAAGAAAGTGGAGGTGTTGGAGTAGAAAGTGTAGGGGTAGTTGGGAATATACACAATAAGGGGTGAAACCTCGGTCGTGTTCTTCTCGTTGCAACCGAAGAAGACGGGCTTCTGGTTCAGACCGAGATTAAGGAAGGTCTCCTTTCCAGGAATAGAGGGAAAGCTGGTACCAGCCGAGATAGACTCCTTCGAGCGCTCGTAGGTAGCAATGGGAGAAGCACCATCGGGCCAGCTCAAGTTGGTGTCGGCGGAGTTGTCAAAGCTGAAGATGACATCGACCTGGCGCTCATTCTGGATTAGGGGGTGGTAGGGAACATTCTGGAGATCCTCGCCACCATCAACAAGAGTCAACCGGTCCAGGTCCGAGTTGTAGTTTGTTGAGGGCTTCCAGCCCTTGAACGGGTTGGGGGTCCAGTCAGCGATATCGTTGTTGTCGGCACCAATACTCTTGAGCATATCCGTCAGGCCCTCAATGACGAAGTCGGGAATACCGTCAGGAACAAGATCGCTAGAGTCATCGTTGAGGTATAGGATGATCTGGTTGAACAAAGAGCTCGATGTTCCCATGACGAAGCCAGCATTGTCAAACCCTTTCACACACTTTCCCTTGCTGGGGATAGAGCCATTGGTGAAGTTGGATCCAACCCATTGGAGGGGCACGAAGCCAGACACTGTGTTATCCGAGGAGCCCAGTTCCCAAGGTGTAAATTCGTAAATCGTCGAGTTGATCGGGATGACCTCTTCGTTCGGCCTGCGACCAATCGCGATGAGGAAGGGGAGAGGAGCTTTGGCATTCTTGAAATCACTATCCTCGGCGATTGAGGAGTATGTGTATCCCGGGCCACCGTCCGTGGCGTTGATGAGCTGGTAGGAGAGCATGCGGCCCCAATAGTCGGTGATGGAACGTTCGTAGCCGGCCTCATCCTTCTTGGTGACGGGGTTGAAGACGTCGTTGTAATAATCGAGAAGCGCGTACTGCTCAGGTCCTGCAGTAAGACAAGTTAGCCACAGATTCCCCCGCCGAAGCATTGGCCTGGCACCGAGCAAGAATCCGCCCAGACTCACCCTTGAGAATGTTATCCTGGAACTGCCAGACAACTCCCGAGTTGGCACTGGCCTCTACCGTTGTGAAGTTGTTCATGTAGATACTTCCCACCAACCAGGCACCACCAGACAGCCCAGCAATGTAGGTCGAGGACTGCAACAAACCACCCAGGTTGCCCCTTTCCGTAGAACCAGACGAGCGGCTGTCGAGCGCCGCCAGGGCGCCGGCTCCCGATAACATGGCGCGATAGCCTCCGCCGGAGAAGGCAATGCCGATATTAGGGATGGCATTGCTGTCCTTCTCGCCGTTTTGCAGGTACGTCGTGTAGTCGAACTCGGGGATCGCGAGGCGGCGGAACAGGTCGCGCATCGGTGCGAGGGTCTCGTTGCGGCGGGTCACCACCCAGTCCTTCTCCTGCTTCGATAGGGTCGAGCCATCTCGGATGGTAGGCTTGTCGCTGGGGCAGTCGACGGTGGTCGGGACGTATCCTGAGGGGGCCTTCTGGGTTCCGCGATCGTAGAGGTCAATGTTGGTGGGTTCGCGAACTAAATTGTTGGAAGGAGCGTGTTAGCTGAGCCGTCTTGTGGCGGTTGGAGGCGGTGGCGCTGTTGATCGATCGTACCTGCAGGAAGATTTGGAGACGGCGATGCGACAGCGCCTGTGGCAGCCAGCAGAGCGACGAGACTCCTGGAGATGGCCATGCCGGACAGCGCGTGCTCCTCTCGAGAATGGAAAATTAAATATCGACGCGGATTACAATAATTGAAGAAGGGCGGGCAAAGACTGATTTATCGCGTTCGGTCCGACCGGTCAGAGTGGGCTCAGCAGATCGAAATATCAGGAACGCAGGCCAGAGGAGCAATAAAGGCAGTTCGCTCGCCAAGAAGACACGGGAAGAAATATTACAGCAGGAGAAGAAGAATTATGGAAGAAAACTGGAGCACAGAGGGAACAGAGGGAGCGAAGAATTAATATTATGGATAAGCAAACACTCGAGAAACGAAAGATTATGGACGAGTTCCGAGCAAATTGGCTGCCAAGACTGCATCACAGGGAGCAGTCGCCGAGGCCGCGTCATTAGGTTTAATTTGCGACACAACAACACTGAGAGAAGAGTGTGCCGGAGACGAGAAAGGAGCCAGACAGCAGCCACCGGTACCGTGCCAAGCACTTGGCAGATGAGCTCTCGCAGCTCAGGAGGTGTCGAGTCGGGAAGTGTCTGGGCAGGGCAGCTCATCATCATGCGCGCGCCAGAGTCCCGGTCAGCAGGCTGAGAGGGCAAAGCCAGGGGACTGTAGGCCTTTAACGCCAGTATAACACTGCCTCAAGCAAGGAGCAGTCTGTTCACGGCGCAGTAAGGTTATTTGACAATGGGGCCATCCACCAGCGCTGCGATCAGGTCCCCATTAGGGATAGAGATTTGGTGGCGGCGGCGGATCGTCGGCACTGTCGCTGAACCGCCCCTCCCTAAGGCAGCCTAAAGCGGTAGCTCCAGGGACACGTCTGTTTCACAGCCAGCGGGCTCAGCGCTCTCCAGCCAACCAGCAGGCCATGACCCTCTTTATTTTAGGGCGCTGACTTGACACCAACAAGACGGGAAGAAGTCCCTGAATCGACACCATCCGCCAAGCCGCCCAGCCCGACATTGTGACTTCCACCCTCCGAGAAGATGGTCAGATCCCAAGGCCCCCACGAATCGGATGGCTTGGGAGCATTCTTTTCCCCCTTCCATTCCTGATTCTTGGCTGCGCCTGTGATGTGTCGCTGCATGGACGGGCTGCCCCATGATGACAGTAATACAAGCTGCTAGCCGCTGAACCAGCAACCGTCCTGACCGCTGACAACCCCTCCTCCGCTCCACACAAAACCTTCACAACCGATGTAAGAACGGGCCAAACTGAATCCGCGGATCCGCGGTCTGCTCATAACCCGAGAGGCAGCCCGTATTCTTATTTCTCGGCATCACTGCCAGCCAAGCCCAGCCAACGCGCATAATCCTCTTGGCAGGCCACCACGTTTCGAAAATCGACGCTGTATTTGGTGGCAGACTGCCGTATTGTTATGACCTTATGATTGATTCTGTCGCTTTCAGGTTCTTTGGTTTGAGGCAGCCTTCATCCCAGGTTGCCAGCCCCACCATCAGTTAGCCCACATGTGATTGCCCATAGATAGCCCCATATGAGTCCGAGGTTATAAATTATATGGTAATCTTCCTAGTGCTGATCGCTCTATACAGGAAGGAGACAGCACAGTAAGAAACGCAACCTCGTCGGATTGTAAGAAGCGCTTGTCACATCAAAAGTACTGGTGCTGAGCCCTGCGCGTCGCCATAACGCAGACCAGACCTCCAGCTTCAACCAGTGGTTTGAGCAAACTCAAGCAAAGCCCAATGGCAGGTGAAATATAAGTTGATGCAAAGATGATCATGCATAGCTGCTGCGCATATACAGGTAAATAGGGTTACTGCATGCCCAATGTTATAGACAAGCCTAGCACTCTAAATCTATCATATTCATGCGGGGATATGGGTACATCAGCGACCCGTTGGCGCCCAAAGCCGGAGACGTGCGAAGCCAGCCAACTACCAAAGTGTCGTCAACTTAGAATGATGAGGTGGCTATACAAAAGTTATGGAAAACGACAACTGCTGAGCCACCCATGCCAAGACTGGAATTATATACATAGGTGTGGCCTAATGCAATGCCGATGAGTGTGAACTGTCTCACGACGACCGTCTCCATGTAGGGATATCGCTGCCAGTGCAAAGTACTTGCATCCTTAACCTTTGATTGCCAGATAGTCTCACCATGCAGCATTGAACGTCGTCGCGCAACCTCCTTTCCAGGATCTTTGCCGTCGTTGGGCAAAGTATACTTGTCGGACCCTAGAACTGTCTCAAGCTGGTAAAAGTGTCACGGTCAAACCGGCTAGGATAGGAAGCCTCGGAAGCACCTGGCTACCTCACTGGTGCATTAGATGCCTACCTAAGAGTAAGGAGAAAGTTGTTTGCTCATGGTTGTACAGCCTCCCCTTAGTGTCAAGTACATGTACCCTATACCTACCACAACATACCTGAGTCATTGAATTCTCCAAACATGCTTGCTTCCCTCTTTGGCTAATGTTCATGACTTATGACAATATATTAATATTGTAGTTCTCTAATTTACTTCAAAGAGTGCGTAGAAGATCGTAAATATGAAAAGAGAAATAGTTTCGATACACGGCATGTCTAACTACATTATTGAAAACGTGGTGACATCGACCACATACCTCTAGCCATATACATGCTCATTCAATATCGTACAGATGGGGTATCATTCATTCAATGCCGTCATTCACTCGGAGAACTCGCTAGCAGGTTCCCTCCCAAAGGGGTGGTTGAATTTGAGGAGCCCGTTCAGTCCTCCAACCCAAGGATCATCGTCCTCCGTGCGGATGACACAGGGCACTCCGCCGTGCCACTCCTCGCCGGGGCCCTCCCGGCTCCTCCCTACAAACTCACCCTCTACATGCAGCTCTGACCCGGGCGAGACGCCGGCGCAGCGCCGACCGTCGATGCTGAGGTCCAGCTCGCGACCCCGGTTCTTTGAGCTCAGTCGCAGAGTCACCTTTGTGTCCAGAGGCAGCACGAGGGACCGGAAAGAGAGACTGCAAGGACTGATTGGGGTGATGAGGAGTGACTTCACCAGAGGGTGGACGATCGGTCCTCCGGCGCTGAGGCTGTACGCCGTAGATCCCGTCGGCGTGCTGATCAGGATGCCGTCGGCGATGGTCTCCGTGAGGAAGTGGCCGTTCTGGAAGATGTCGATGATGGCGAGGTGCGGGTGCGAGCCCCGGTGGACGGATATCTCGTTGATCGCGCGTAGCGGAGGGGACCGTTCGTTTGGCTTCGCCAGGGTCGGCGCCTCGTTCGCCAGGCTGCTGGACAGCCGATGGTTGATGTTTGCGCCAGACGCATCAAAGATGTCGGCCTTGATCCGATGCCGTAGGAGGATCTTGGCAGCCCGCTGTGCGCCCATGCTCTTTCCCCTTATATCCTCCCAACCGGCGTGGGAGCCAGTGACTGGGTTGTTGGTTTCGATCCCACGGGGGAACGCGGCATCACGCACGGCCACGTCGCTCCCGCTCATGTACACATCGCGCCATGCTTTCTTGTGCTCTGAGAAGTCCCACTCCCCGAGGAATCCGAGCGTCCCCATGCTGAACGATACGATCGGGGGTACGGACCCATGGAGCTTGAAGAGGCTGGCAGCCCGCAGGACCGTGCCGTCACCGCCAAATGTCGCCATGACATCCACCTTGTCTGCCAGGTTTGTTGATTCGTCAGAAACGTAAATAGGGAAATTTAGTTTCTCCCGCACCAAGGGGGCAATACGCGGCTCGAGAATTAGGTTGACGTTCGGGTATTCGGTGTGGATGTGCTTGGCGAACTTGACCACTGCTTCATCGACCGCGGTGGAATATAGTTTTTGGACGAGGAGAAGATTGCGTGGCGGCCGGGGCCATTTTAGCGATAGAAGCGAGGAGCCTGGCTTTATGCTTTTGAGGTATCGTGGACTCGTGCGTTCGGGAAGGTCTGAGATGCTGCGAATGTCAGACCGGTCGAGTGTTTGTGTGGTGGAGAGACACCTTCGACATTGTGAAGGGATGGCAGTGCGCGGGGCCGTGAGTGGCCTGAAAACTTGGCGAGACAGTTGAGGTAATCTATACAAGCGAGGGCCAGCCATGCTTAGTGAACGGTAGACATGCTGCTTTGCGTGGGTGAGGAGTCAAACAGTCGGGCAAAACTTGCATCCATCCATGTTTCTTCGGTTTAGTTGTCGGAGCGGCAGAATCGGTCGCTGCAACCCACCGCCTGCCAGATAGGGCAATATGGCGGGGGTCTTGATGTAACTGATTCACATGTCAGTGAATGGGCAGGTCGTGGTATGACTTCATCTCTGGCCATGCTTCGGCGCCGAGCTTCGGAAGTTTATTTCTTCATGGTAAAATCCGAGCTATCAGACATCTCGGTTTTTGTTTTTGTTTCGTATCGTGCTACGACGACAGCCCAACCGCTCATTGCTGATGTCTCGGGTGCGCACCAGCCGCCTGGTCGGGTGATCATTAGCACGTGCCTGATTGGCTGCTTGGGGTACAGTCGCCGTTAACGGGCGTGCTTTCCCCCACCAGGCACAAATGATTGGACGTCATCCGTAACCCCAACTTGGGGCGCAGCTGCTAAGAGCTGGATGCTTCAATGCTACACGCTCCGGTCTTCACTGCTCGACTCGTATTTTTGGGCAGGTCTCGCGACCTCCTTCACCGAGCTTCTAATACCACCTTTTTGGAACCCCGTGTCTTGCATTTGCGCAAACCCGTTGCTACCGGTCTCTCAGAGCTCGGCGAGGAGCTAGCTCAGCCTCGGGTTCAGCCCAACTCCGACCACCGTCACGCGGGGCCTCGAAGCTCCAGCGACCCGAACTCCGCAGACTATAGCATGATCAAGCAGGACTGAGAGAAGCAGGACTCTTCTTTTTTATTCCCTCTCTTCTAGATCGACACCCGCATCGCACGAAAGCCTTCCTGCTCGACCATTTGCTTGTATAATCATGGCTGAGGATTTGAACATCCCAGCCCCGGATGTGGCCGGCTTGGTGGGAAAATCTCTCGAGAAAAATAGTGCAGGATCTAAAGCATTCAACCCGTCGGGGAAGCAGGGCCATGGCCCTATTGTACAGCTCTTGCGAGGGCTGTGTTTCGCCGTCTACTTCTGGACATGCTGTATTGCGTACGTGTGACCGTTTGAGCCGGATGTACAAGGCTGAATTTTCCACCATATGTACTGACATGGGGAACTATGCAGCATTTTTATCACACAGGCCGTCGGCTCGCCCCTCTATCTTATCAACCAAGAGTGGTACTACGCTTATATGGCCATGACGAAGCGATCCTTCGCTATCACGACGACGGTGATGACCCACCTTTGGGGCTCGACGACGATCCGGATTAGCGGTGACGAGACTGTCGCGGGACAGATTCGACCGACGGCGGACGGCGGGGTCGAGTTTAAATTCCCCGAGCGCATTGTTCTTATTGCAAACCATCAAGTAGGTGGCACCTGATCAGCCTCGAGTTCGCGAGATTGCTTGGCGACTTACACAAGCGAGCAGATTTATACAGATTGGCTATATCTCTGGTGGGTTGCGTACGCGAACCGACCGGGACTCCACGGGCACATCTACATCATTCTGAAGGAGTCGTTGAAATATATTCCCATTATAGGCTGGGGCATGATGTTCTATAGCTTCATCTTCATGTCAAGGAAGATGGCCACAGACCAGCCGCGCATGTCGCACAGACTCCAGAAACTGCGAAAGCTGAAGACAGATCCTCAGGGCCGGACATACCTGGACCCTATGTGGCTGCTCCTCTTTCCTGAAGGAACGAATCTCTCCGGCAACGGCAGAAGGAAGTCAGCTGCATGGGCGGCCAAGAACGACCTCCAGGACATGGAGCATGTGATGTTGCCACGAAGCACTGGCATGTTCTTCTGTCTAAACGAGCTCAAGGGAACGTTAGATTATGTATACGACTGCACAGTCGCCTACGAAGGCATCCCGTAAGTTTCCGTTGTTGGCGTCCTAACTCTAGAGGGCAATTTCTTCGAAACGCTAACTAGTGTATAACTTCAGCCGAGGCAAGTTTGGTGAGGAACTTTTCGGGCTCAAGAGCACATACTTTGAGGGGAAGCCTCCAAAGTCAGTTAACTTTCACTGGCGCCGTTTCAAGATCGCCGATATTCCCCTCGACGATCCGGAGAAATTCAACCTCTGGCTCCGAGAGGAGTGGTACAAGAAGGATGCGCTCATGGAGGAGTACATGACCAACGGCCGCTTCCCCCCCATGGCAGGTTCCGAGGTCGATTACATCGAGACCTTGGTCAAGACCCGGAAACCCTGGGAGATTCTGGAGGTCTTTACCGTCGTGGGACTTGTCGGGTTGTTGTGGAATAATGTTCGCAAGGTGTGGGCTTTCGTGTCGACTTTCCGATTCAGCGATAATACGACGTTATAGGATGAGAAAGGTTCAAGGGATGGAATGATGGTGTATCCAGTCCCGAAACGGATGAGCTTGCGATTTGGTGAATGGTTTGCATGTTGGAGGCAGAGCGATGGATGGGTGGGGCGCAATGGGTGGGTGGTTGCAGATGGTTGTTTCCATGGTAGCATCGCCAGGCACTTGATTTTCCCCAAATTTCATCTAGCAAACGTGTGCATTTTGGGTGTTTTCTGGAGCAGGGATTGTGAGATTGATACCCTGGCGGCATGAAGACTGTTAAACAAGACACACAGAAGGAAGTGGCGATAGAAAGCCAATGCCGGGATACGCCTGGATTTGAATAGACAAGCCATAAAGGGGTCCTCGCTGATGAATTTTGAGAGTGACATTCCAAAACTGCGTTGAGCAGGTCTAAGCCAGCCTGAAACCAGGGTTGTTAGGGTCTCTCCGTGGCATCGGCCGCCGTGTATCGGACTCCCTGTCGCCACGAGAATCACTCCTCCTCACCTTATTTTTTTTTGGGTTTCACATTGGAGAGGATGACCTGCATGATTGCCCATCTTATATGAGCCGAGGCATCGCTTCGGATCTCAGACGGTTATGCACAAGGTGACGTACACCATCGAACTAGCGGCTGGACGAAGCCTCCAAGTGATGGTCTAGACTGGAGATCGCGCTGTGCTGCTGTAGGCCTTGCATTAGCAGCAGGGCTTTACCTTTACCGCCCTCCCTGTTCCTTGCTCTGCACTGTCAGACCTCTGATCCTTTGTTGCGGGATTGGGCCAATCGCAACCTGGACCACATGTGGAGTAATGAGTTTGCACGCGCGCGGGATGGATATTATTCCTTGCGGGGGTGGAGTTGGCCAGGCTTGGCTTTGGAGTGAGGGCTCCGGTAACAAGTCGTGGAGGTTGGATTTGGAGTGCACGCTAGGCTTGGAGTGGGATGGAGGCGTGCGGCTGGGATTTATTGATGGCTTCTCGTGTTGAGTTTGTGGTTGCTGATGGTTGTGTTAGGTCTTATTGTTTAGATAGAGTGGTGACGAGAGATAAATTAATTAATAGCCGGCGCCATAATCTGGGGAAGGGCCAGCGGGGTACCGGCTAAGTGTACCCCAGCTTATTGCTCTCTCAATCTGTGTCGTGGTTGAGCTGGGCATCGTGAGTAGATGATTCACCAGATTTAAGATTCTCTATGACCTTATTAGGGACGAGTCGGAATACAGAAATGTCCCCCGCCCCTATTTGGAACAAAACTTGGAGTTACCGTGCAGATGCCACGACATGTCCGGTGTGGCCGCACCGCGCGGAAACATGTCAATCCCCCCTCAAAGTCGCCAAGCAAGATCCCGGTCACTTTTACGTGCTGAGCAGGATCCGAGACAAAGGCGTCGCCGTGGCTTTAAAGCCTAATAAAAGGATGTAGAATCGTAAGATTGCACAGCACTTGGAGGCAGCACACTACATTGGCATCTCGCCTCTTGACGTTCAATAACAATCCCAACTATTGGCCATCTCTGTGTGTTGCAATTAGACCGGCCCTGATTGATCCCTGACGCTGGGGAATCTACCGGCCCCATTACCGTGATACAGTACGACCGAATCCCTCCTTTACCCCGCAAGCTAGAGACGGAGCCACACAGAGCCAAGATTATTGGCCTCGAGCCCTCAGCCTCCAGGTGAGGACCTGCCTTGGCGGACGCCGTAGCTGAAGGTTATTTGCTGTCCCTCTAAAAAGATACCGAGGGTGGCGTTGGATCTCCCGTTCTGGAAACCCCCTTCCGAAGCTAGGCCACGCGATCTCTTTCTCATCATGATGCTCACGGCCGCTGCTGGGCATATTTGGTGCGGTGTGTCGAACCCACAGACCACATGATGCTCATCAGGACAGCCAGACCTTGCCTCATCCGACCAGCCTCCGTGCGGGGGAGAGGGCTGGGATCCTCCTCTCGATGCAAGGACCCATGAGGTTGTGCCAGATATGGAGATTGGCACCGACTTCCTTCGCCTCTCCCGAGAGATTATGCACCCCGACCCCAGCAATCGACGGCGTAAACGCGTCTCCAGCGCTGGCCGTCTTCTGGCTTGCCCTCATACCCCCGTAGGTGTTGTGGATTATCTCCAGTTTGCCTGCAGGACAGCATGTTCATCCAGAATGCTCGGTGACTTCGGCGGGTTCGTGTCTGCCTCTCATCCATCCCCCCGGCAGGGTTTTCTATATGAGGTCGACGATCCCCCTCCTTCTTGTCTCCCAGATTCCCCTGAGCCTACACAGGAGATCAATTGGGTTTCAACGGTAGCGATCCTTCTCCAGTTTCTGGGCTGGGATTCCCTGTTCTATTAGGTTTTCCAACTCTTCTCTTCTTGTTTAAAGTTGCAACACCTCCTGCCCACAGAGAACACTTCCCTCCCGTCTTGTCTCTAGTAGACAGACTGCCATTGGAGACTCCTCCGCCATGGATCGACAAACTAGTAGCAACGATTTTGAGAAGAGAGACGGTGACGTTCAGCATGTGGACGGAACCGTCAGCTCTGACACCACTCCAGATGATCATGGATTCACCCCGGATGAGCAGCGCAGAATCGTCCGCCGGATCGACCGGCGTCTGGTAGTCACCCTGGGTGTTGTAAGTCACTCCCAATTAACGTGGCGAATGATGATTGATTCTAACGAGCATTAGCTTTATTGCATCAGCTTGATGGATCGCACAAACATGAGCGCGGCCAACATTGCGGGTATGAGCAAGGAACTCGTCCTCACGGGATTCAGATATGTATGAAACGACCCTTTTTCTCTCGGATTTTATCCTTTCCACCATATTTCCTCTTCCTCAGTTGTGAGCTCTCTGTCCGGAGAGACAATTGACTTAAGAACAAGTAAGCTAATCTCAGATACAGAACATCGCCAATCTCGTCTTCTTCATCCCATACATTCTCTTCCAGCCCCCCTCAACGATCCTCATCCGTAAGATTGGTCCTCGAATCCACCTGTCCGCCATTACGGCATTCTGGGGCGCTGTCATGATCGGCATGGGCTTCGTCAAGGACCACAATGCGTTGACTGGTCTGCGAGCCATCCTGGGTCTTTTGGAAGCTGGCTTCTTCCCCAGCTGTGTTTACTTGCTGAGTACCTGGTACACCCGATGTAAGTAAGCTTACTTATAAGGTTACGAGTAGCTATTCTGACATGTCATGCAGTCGAGGTGGGCAAGAGGTACTCTCTGTTCTACCTCCTTGGTTGTGTTGCGAGCGCCTTTTCCGGAATTCTCGCTTACGGGGTGCGTATCTTTGAACACTTAGTGTGAATTGGCGGCATGACTGACACATTACACAGCTCATGCAACTGCATGGCCGCGAGGGCCTCACCGGCTGGCGCTGGATCTTCATCATCGAAGGTGTCCTGACCTGCGCACTCGGAATTGGCGCTTACTGGCTCCTCGTCGACTTCCCCGACTCTACCAGGAAGAACTGGTCCTTCCTCGGCCAGCGTGAGCGGGACTGGATCGTCGCCCGCATCGCCCGCGACCGCGGCGACGCCAGAGTCGAGCCCTTCAAGCTCAGCAAGTTCCTCCGCGGCGGCACCGACTGGAAGATCTGGGCCTACGCCCTGATGTTCTTCAACACCACCACCATCAGCTACAGCCTGGCCTACACCCTGCCCATCCTCCTCGTGCAGAACATGGGCTTCGACGTCGGCGCGGCCCAGTGCCTCGTCGCGCCCCCCTACGCCTTCGCCGGCATCGTCATGTTCACGGGCGCCTGGCTGAGCGACAAGTACCGCCTCCGCGGGCCCGTCATCGTCTTCAACATGCTCCTCGCCCTCATCGGCCTGCCCCTCATGGGCTGGACCGACTCCACCCGCATCCGCTACCTCGGCGTCTTCTTCGTCACCGCGGGCGCCAACGCCAACGTGCCCGCCGTCATGACCTTCCAGGCCAACAACCTGCGCGGGCAGTGGAAGCGTGCCTTCTGCAGTGCCACCATGGTCGGCTTCGGTGGCGTCGGTGGCATCGCGGGCAGCCTCGTGTTCCGGGACCAGGACAAGACGACGGGGTACAAGCCGGGCATGTACGCCTGCATCGCCTGTGCCGCCCTCAACGTCCTCCTTGTCCTCCTCGTCACCTTTGAGTTCAGGCGCCAGAACAAGAAGGCCGACCGCGGCGAGAAGATGCTCGAGGCTTATGACGTAAGTTCCTACATCTCTCTCATCCCCTCCCTTCTTTTTTCTTCAAGTTTATAGAACCCATGACTTTTGTCACCTGCTTCTTGAGAGTGTTGTTGAGACTAACCATATGCTGAATAGGAGGACTCAACTCCCGACTTCCGTTACACCTACTGATCAGATGGGCGTCGAGGGGCAATGGCTCACGGAAGCAAACTTTCTTCTTATCCTGTGGCAAGAGAAGGCAGGGCTATAGTACCCCAGGGGGGGAAACCTTATCACAGTTTCTAATGACTCTGAATAATTGCCCGCGAGTGTGACTTCCCTGAACCCCCCCCCCCCGCTGTCTTAAATTTTCCGTGAATCGTGAAGTTTAAAACTTCTTCCTTCCTTTATCCCATCTGCATCACCTTCCTCCCAAACCAGATGAAAACACTTAAACAACACATCCCATGCCGGACATCCAAGACGCCTTCCAGGCAGCGCTCATCATCGCCCTGCTGGTCACGCTGGCCCTCGCGGCCCTCCTCGCGGCCGTCGTGGTCGCCCTGCGATACTGGCAGCCTGAGCAGCAGGAGCAGACGGAGCCGGAGCGCCGCCGCTCGCTCTACTATCCTTCCACCCGTAGCAGCGTAGAGAACGCCTACCGCATCCCGTGCGTCCCGGACCGTCCCCTCTTCCGCAACGTCGACTGGTCGTATGGGACGTTCCAAGGGAACAGGTTTGAGTCCGGGCCGCGTGGTGGCTCGCGGGCGGGGTTTACCGTTGATGACGAGCATAGTATCAGTACGAGATGGGAGCGTGCGTCTCCCCGCGGGCAGCTGGGCGGGCAGCGTCGCATGGCGGTGGAAGAACGGAGAGATGCCTCCAGTGGGGTCGAGGGGGCGGAGGAGGATTTGACAGATAAACCCCGGGGGACGGCGGGGAGAGAAGGTAGGGACGGGGAGGAGACGAGCGGCTCTTCGACGCCTCTGGCTTCGAAGCAGGGAGCGGGTGCTGCCTCTGGCTGGGCTGATAGGACTCGAGGCGGGAGGGGCCATTCTGTGTGACGGGGCCCCCAGGTGCTTGTTCATCCCTGTGTACCAGGAGAATAGGATGTACTTGTTCTACCGGTAATGAATGGATTGCACATGTGCGATTGTTGGGGCTCATGTTGGGACTGTGGTCATGGCTGTGAAATGTGAATGTGACTGGACTCTCCCTCGAACAAGTCGTTGGCTCGTACGTGATCAGGTTGGATGATATCAACAGATTCCATCATTTCGGGCAGATTGAAGCTAATTTTTGAATTTTTATTAATTAATCCCGGAAGGATATATAATTATTTATAAAGCCACAAACCTTGATTCGTTCTGGGTATATTTGTTATCCTACATCTACAGAGCAACCGCGAACATCAAGCCGGCAGCCAATGCGGTCCAAACAGACACAGAAGCCATGCTGCTCCCACTGCCCTGGTCGCCGGAGTCGCCACCGGTGCTGTTCGAGTTATTCGAGGCCTGGCCGTCCGTCTTGACGACACGCTCCTGCAGCTTCGGGCTCATGGGGCTGTGCGCCTTGATGTACTGGTTCAGCACGTCCTCCTGCAGATCGAGGACGGCGAACCCGCTCTGCTTCTCGAGGATGTTGTCCCCGCCGCCGGCGAGGAAGTCGAGGGTGACGAGGCGGTACTCGCGCGCGTCGTGGAGGTCCTCGCCGCCGATGGTCACTTTCACGAGGCGCTTGCCTACCTCGTTGGCCGGGTTGTGCTCGACGCGCACGGCGCTCGAGACCTGGAACCAGGAGCTGACCTCCTTGCCGTTGAACTGGTTGTTCGCGGAGACGAGGCCCTCGAAGACCTTGCGGAGGTCGGCGCCGGAGAAGGTGAGCTCGACCATGGCGTTGCCGAAGGGGAAGGACGTCAGGACCTCGCCGCGGGTGATGTCGCCCTCGTCGATGGTGGCGCGGACGCCGCCCGAGTTGTGGAAGGCGAAGTCGGGCTTCTTGTCGCCCTCGGTCTGGTTGGCGCGGTATTCGTACATGGCGTCGGCCATGACTTGGCCGAGGAGGCAGTCGCCCGTCTTGCACTTGGTCTGGTCGAGGGCGACGGAGGTCGAGCCGATGACCTCGGCGGCGAAGGCCTCGAAGGGCACGCGCCACTCGTCGATCTTGGCCTGGAGGGCGTGGTCCTGGGCGGTCTGGTTGGTCAGGTGGATGGGGGCGCCGTGGTAGCCGGTGATCTTGCCGTCCTTGTCGAAGAGGAGGTTGATGGAGCCCAGGTACTCGCCCCAGCGGTACGAGGTGACGATGAAGACCTCCTCGCCCTTGGTGTTGTTGACGATGGTGGGGTACTTGCCCTCGGCGCCCTTCATGTCGCCCAGGAGGGTGTGGCTGTGGGCGCCGATGATGAGGTCGATGCCTTCGGTCTCGGCGGCGAGCTTCTGGTCAACGTCGTAGCCGATGTGCGTCAGGGCGACGATGTACTTGACCTTGGTGTTGTTGCGGATCTCGTAGACTGCCTCCTGGATTGTCTTGATGGGATCCTCGAACGTGGTCTGGTTGCCTACACTTGAGATGGACGGGGTGTCCGCGGAAGTCGCGCCGATGATGGCGAGATTCTTGTCCTCCCAGACCTGGTAGTTTTTGATATGGGGCTTGAGCGCAGGATTCTCCGACTTGACGTTGGAAGAGACGATGGGGAAGGTCAGGTTGGAGAGAAAAGCACCCAGCTTGGTCTCGCCGCCATCCCACTCGTGGTTTCCGAGGGTCATGATGTCGAACTCGAGGTCATTGAGCACCTCTGCAATCTTCTCGCCGCCATAGTAGCTGTAGAACATGGTGCCTTGGAACTCATCTCCCGCGTTGATCCACATGCTGTCGGGGTGAGCGGCCTGGAGCTCATTGACCTTGGACTTGATGCGGGAGTAGCCACCGTAGCAGCCCTTTGCTGGGTTGGTGCAGTCAGTGCCGGATGAGGAGAACTCATCCAAATGGGCATGGACATCATTGATGTGGAAGAAGGCTAGTGCCAGAGACTGTCAGCGCAATATATTCAAGTTTTCGTGATAGTGTATACATACAGACGTTCCAATTGCCCTCGGCGTCAATATCACGCTTGTTCAAGGCATAACGGCTGCTGAACAGGTATTCGTCGGCTACGGTTGAGCCGACGAGGGAAGTGAGCGCGACAAGTGAGAGTGCAGACTTCATGGTCACCACACGGATGAGCCAGATGAAGTGGGATGTTGGCAGATGAGTACTGGAGGCGCGAGGCTAAGAAAGAAAGAGGAAGCTATTTATTTTAACAGCAATTGCCATGGCAGGCTGGAGACAACGAGTGGAGGCGAGCGAGCTCAGACCAACAGGATCGATATCGGGGCCGGTGGATTTCTCGCAGTTGATCCAATGCTGACAGCGAGGTTACACCGTAGGCCCGCTCTCTACGTCCCGTTCCAAGACATTGGGATGATGTGGCAAGTGGCTGGAATAAAACATGGCACACCAAAGCTCTTTCCGCGTGAGGCAGGGAGATCATTTTTTAATTTAACACAATAAGAAGAGAATAAGAAGAGAATAGTAAACTATTCTATACTATTTAGCTTACTACTGTATTCAGTACTAGGTTATTTTTATGATATTGTGTTGAATTTCAGTGCTGAACTATCTCGATATGCCATGTTTTATTTCACCCACTTGTGTGGATAGACTCACCACAGCGCCGTCGACGGAGGTGACAAGGGAGGCCAAGTCGCGCGGCACAAACGTGGGAGCGATTGACCACTCAGCTGCCAGTCGCAAAGCGCAGCGGGGGAGACGAAGGACTAGATTAGGATGGTGAAACCCTGGATAAACTCTGTGGACGCATCCTCCGGCGTACTCAGGCTGCTCCAGAGCATGGAGCATATCGTCCTCGCCGCCGAGTGGACAAACGGCTGGGGCAGGATTGCCAATCTGCACCAGATTGAGGGCTAGAGGCCGGAAGAGGCGAACAAAGGGTCCTGGGCATTCATTATTTCTGCAGGGGTTGGGTGGTTGCGAGGGGCAATTTCTCCTCTCGTTGGCCGCTATCTCTCGCCAAGGTCGTCGGATGGTCTGACGGGTTTGCTTTGAGTTTTAACCTTAGCATTTACGTTGTGTCCAATCTGAGAGCCAGTCTCCCCCACCTGTTGAAGCTGCCGCTGCTCAATGGTGCGAGATCCAAGACACGAGTTCCTCGCATCTGCATCGTGATGGAAGCCAAGAGACTACTGCCGGTACCATGCGGCGCCTGCCGTCGACACGATCCTGGTAGCCTGCTGTCACGTTTTCTGGTTGCAATGAGCTGCATTTGATGCTTTATCTGTCATGCTGGACATGTGTATCTGGCTTGATTGGTTGATGTTGTCCAACTGGCTAAGTATAACCACTTTCCCCTTATTGCCTAGGCTAGTGTTCAATTGCCTCCATCAGGATTTTAGCCACCGATCTAGCTCAAGCTGTACGGGCAGACACCAGTGATAGCAGGCTCAGGTGCTCAGATGCCCGTGAACGCAAGAAAGTCTCAATGGACATTTCCGGCACCAAGGTGGTTGGGATGCGATTACGGCCATCACGTATGGGGTCTTAGAGCAAAGAGGAAGGTCCCCAGACTGGAAAAGACAGTGATAAAAGTTATAGATCATGTACGCGCGTCACCATGGCTTCTTTCGATTTCATGCCAGGGCCAATCCTGGTGGGTGATAAGGCGCCCAAAACGCCCGCGGGGAGAATAACACGGTGATAAAAGCGTTCCCCGTAAGTGCTCACGGCACTAATCGCGCGCCAGTTTATTATTTTTAAGCTTGAGATTTTGCTTAAACCTTATCCTTGCTTTTACTGCACATGTCTTGCCTGGTAGTAGGTGCCAAGCAATGGCAACTGTTCTTAATCGAGGATTTGAGAGATAGCGAGATTTGAAGTGAATTGACTCGATTAAGGAAGAAGAGCGTATCTCGAGGCTACAACTAAGGAACTCTACTATGGCTGGAGCCTACCTATGGCTGGTCATGTCACGTTGCTGTAGGGTAGGTAGAGTCTTGAGTTACCCTATACTCCCGAACGTCAACGACAGTGGCTCTATTCTTTCACTGACCTTTTCACATAAGCCAGTCACTCTGTGTTACAACGTGTCTACTACAGCCCACGTTACACCTTTTGAACTTTCAGGAGCTTAGCTCATGATGGAGCTGCATATATGTGCCAAGGACAGGTGATGCCAGAGCCTGTCTCTTCATCCGGCCAATCCATCTCATGTTAATGTGAGCCGGAAGACATTTGTCCAACTACACGAAGTTCAACTCTTCCTTGAAAACTAAAGAGGACGTGAGAAAGGCTCTAGATCTAGTCTACACCACTGCATCGCGATACGGCTGGATATAGTCACTCCGCGGACTATCATTAGAAGCCTAGCCATTTAGATTCTCGACCAGCCTATAGAATCAAAGTAGAAGCACCCCATAGGTATATATGTTATCCAAAGATTAATGTTAAAGAGGCTATAGATAACGATAGTAGGTGTAGGTGAGGGGGGTTTTAGAAAAGAATAGTAAGGATCTATTATTATTTAGCTCAAGGAGAGACTTCTTAAGGAACATCCATTCCTATAACAGATCCGTGGAAAAGAATAACCAATTTCTTCTGGCCTAGCTAGTCGCGGGCTTTGCTATTTATCTAGTTTTTTTAAGCGGATAAGGGCCCTTTGCCGCAAAGTAGGACGTTCCAACGCAAACCCATATATCAAATAATACCAAAACCTCATCCTCGCCCCCTTCCATCGTCTCCTCTCCCTGATAGACCCCTTGAATCTTTCAATTGTTGACTACTAGTCGCTTATCTTTCCCTTGCAACTGCCAGACGAGCGCTATACGTCTACTGGGAGTACCTTAATCTGCCCAACTACCGAGTCTGCCCTAGATGAGGCACGTAACAGCGTGATGATGAAGATAATAGACCCTATCCTGGATCCGTTCACAGCCATCGAAACTCAAGAGGCAGTGAAGCTTACATCATAATATAAAATCCCTAGTCCGATTTCAACGTTTCTCTCTGTTGATAAACTCGAACTCGCCTCTTTCGACAATGCCAACTGTGTATTGCTGCTGCTCTGTCCTGGTGTTATAAAACCACCCAAGCCGGCATTCCACATTCTCAAAACTCATCGATGTGTCCTTAGCTGACATAAATTCAGCACCTCTCGGGAGTTTCTCACGGATGTTCGACCCATAAAGCAGGGCGTTCATCATCGCTATGCTGCCAAACCCAGAAGGTGCTAACCCTTTCAGCTCCAAGTCCAGGAGCCATTTCCGCCCACTCCCGAGGGCTTTCCATAGGGCTGCGGAGATAAGACTCCATGTATGGAAGGCCAAAACAAGCGATAGTATCACTATCATCGTGACGGTAACAGGAAAATTTTGGACCAGCCGGGGGCGGTTATTGTCCACAATTATGCCTTTCAGGGTTGGAAAAAATGCTGACCCAAAAGACTCGTTGATGCTGTATCGGTTTTGGATAGAAACCATCTGGGCGGCTAGAATGTCAAATTTGAATTTGGCAGCTTCTATTAACTTGAGATCTTGACCCGGGTCGGCTACACTCTCCAGTCGGAAAGAGCCCCACGGTTCAAAGATGGCTGGGAAGATGTGGCCAATCCTCTTAAATCCTACTATTAAAGAATAAAGTGTGGATCCAAAATTCTCAAGAAAGTCGTTGTAAATAACTAAAGGTGGCTCATAGGGCTTCAACTTTGATGAATCCGGGACTGGAGGATGTCCAGAGTCGATAGTGTCAGCCCAGTGGGGACCTGGGCCAATGTGGAGTTGCATGTCCAGAGAGAAAGGTGATCTAATGCTACAGCAGAAGCAGAGAACTTTCCCCAAAAGAACCCATGGAAAACCCAGGGAACGTTGGCAGGGCTATGTTCCAAATTTGAAACATACCGCGCAGCGAGATTATGAGCAAAGTATGACGTTATGTCGTTTCCAAGGTTTGCAATGAAGCTAAAGTTCTTCTGTGGTTCTGAGATATTCTGCCCGTACTGGTAATGGGACTTTATCTCTATCGTTGCTTTTAAATCGTACTGATTTTTTACGACAGTGAGATTGTAGTCCCCTGGGAGAAGCCTAGAGCAATCTGAGACAAGCTTCGCTGCGGTTACATTCACTTTGATGGAGTTTTCGGGACTCCAAAAGGTTTGTGATCCGTCAATCTCAACGCTGGGGAAGACCAAGTCACCATAAGTAAATTCGGGATAGATGAAATTGTTGACTTGATTATTTAGAAGCATGCTCCTAAGAGATAGCTCCATCTGGCTAAAAGCACTCGACTGGATCCAATCATCAGAGGGGGGAGCTGGACCAAACCAACTAGTCTGCTTGACGAGCACATCATGCGTCCCAGGGATGGCTTGAGAAGTGAACAGGGTGGCAGAAAGTGGGCTCAGAAAGCCAGAAAGGATGGCAAGGATCAAAGACAGGCTGGTGGCGGAAGCTTTGAGTCGAAACAAATGATAGAGGGCTCTGACTCCTAACATGTCCGATAAAGACATGTCCAGGGCGAAAATGCTGGTAGCTTTGCTGGAGAGCTTGGAAAGTATTGTAAGATCTCGAAGTGCCATATCCGATGAACTAGAATACCAAGCGATCACAACTGTAGCAATCGCAGGGACTGACGTCCACCAAAGAGATGGACATCCTTCTGTCAATGTAACTATTCTACCTGAGTGGTAAGAGATTTGCAGGAGTGTGCTGACAGATGTTATTAAGCCCAGTGTGTAGACCGCAAAGATGCTACGAAATTTGGATTGTAGCGCGATGGGGGGATAGAGGGGGCCACCCAAAGCTTGGCATGGACCTTGTTGTTCCTCTGCCTCTATCTTCTCTTGGACGAGAGAGGCAAACTTAGATCTGCCATGGAGTAAGATGGCTGACCCCAATATGGTTCCTGGATTCCTTGGACGCTGACAAAGTTCGAGGAGCCTCAAACACAGCCCAGATGGCAACTAGACCCGAAACAGAAAAATCACAGCCATGGCGATGCAGATCCTTTGGTTTATCTGGAGCTTTTGAATTATCCCGATTCTCGACCCGATTATTGAAGACTTATTATTCTCACGGAGATGACCATTGCTAGCAAAGGGCCCAAATACTCTGGTCAGGTTCTGAACAGCTCTTATCAGCCTCTCATTCTGATACAGGGACTCGTCAGTGGTACTGATGTTGTCCATCCCTAACCACATGCTGTCAGCACCCAAAGGTCCGGCGGCCCAGGGCCATCCAATATCACCATCGTCCACGTTTCCATACGGGAACGTGATGATATTTGACAGAAGGTTCCAAGGATTGGAATTTACTTTAATGATTTCTTTATCAGGCAGACGTCGGAGCACGGGTTTGATGCCATCATCCTGGATCTCCACCTTGGATACCCATGCTGTAGGAGAGCAGATGATGGCGGCACATCTTTTCACAACCGGCATAGACCTGTTTTTCTCAGGTAACTTCTCAAGATGCCCCAGATAGACGAAAGAAGGGAACTGCGTGGGTAAAGAGGAACATGGCGTGGGCGTTTCATTGACTATTTGACGCGTCCAGCTACCATCTTCAACCTCAGAAGACCGCGATGTAACATTGATATGTACGGGCCTATCGCACCCCTCAAAAAGAATATCAAACGTGAAGCGATATCTTTGCGACGTAAAATTGAGCGTCGAGTTATCATACTTAAGAGTTTTAGTATTCTCGAATCGAGCGACAGAAGACTCGAACTCTTTCATTGGAAGACACTGGATATCAGTAAATAGCGCATCCACGGTCACAGTAATAGGCATATCGCTTGTGCCACGGGTAACTGTGTCAGAACCTGCCGGCTTGAAAGTTTGGTAGGCTGCCTGTTCCGCGACGCCGAATGGTGGGTTCATGTGGAAGTCGTGAAATGCTCTTGCGGCGAAATAGGTGGACTTGTTGTTGTTGGAGCGGGAGTCCAGCTCATGGCTTGTTTGAAATGTGTCAAGGAGCTCGATTTCAAGAGGGGAAGAATACCTCAAAGCTTTGTCGTAGAAAAGATTGGCCGACAGAACAACTTGAGCTTTCATTAACATAGCCAAGACTGAAGCCAGACACACCAAAAAGTCCTTGCGCTTCAAGGAGAGAAATATCACTTTGGGAAGTATGAGGGATGTGTAGTCTAGCGAAGTGATGTGGTGACCGGAGAACATGGTATCTTTGTGGACGGTCATCCACGGGAAGTAACGGAGTGTTTGAAACTCCACCCTGGCCCATAACGTGGAGACAATTGTCAAAACTAGTTCACACGATAGTTAGATGATCATCCTATTCTTGAATTCACATGCCAGGCGCAACACATACCGGCAGGAGGGCCGAATCTCCATAGACTTGCCAGCTCAATCCGAGCTGTTGTCAAACCTTGGCTCCTCTCTGAGTAAGCGAGCATTGATAATAAGGCAATCGCACAGCCAAAGAAAAAGCCGGAAAATGCTATTAGAATCGGACGCTGCAGCCAGAACGGTCTCCAGGTTGGCTTTTGATATGGCTTTCGGACTTCAATCGTTTCCGTTGGGATAAGATTGGTTTAAGCCCCAGCCATATCAGGATCTTCGTTATCTCCTTCGATTGTAGAACTGACAGCAATGGGAGTATTGCCATCTTGAGCTGGCGACGTGCGACAACGACGCGGGTAGGTTGTCTCATCTTGAGCCTGAATGGTTTCATTGGTGTCAACTATCAGGTCTGAGACCGAGGGTTGCCAGAGGCTTTCACCAGGGCTGGACGAATACGACATTTGCTCCCGTTGAGGCGAACTCTGCTCCAGCGTTGGCGAGTTACTTTCAACTGGAACCATGTCGTGAGAGTTCTTCTGAAACCGTGGTTTAGCTATTGTTGAGATGATACAGCAGTCAAGCATGCATGAAAAAGACACGTCTTGTGAGCCCCGTCAGGTGACTCCTGGTTATAACTGGGAATAGTTCTAAAGCAATACGGTGGCTTCTTTTCTAATGAAAAGCCCGTAGGCATTCGCATTCAACCCAAGTTATAGATAAGGCCGGCTTCTGCCAGCTGTGCAACCTCCGCCCCCAATGCACATGTAGGTTGCCAAGTTGCATAGAGGAATGAAGGATCGTCTCTGGCACCTGACGGCGTCGGACCAAGGCCAGCTGAAGATCCCAAGTATCCCTGATTGTACGATGTAGTATGCATGACCGAAAACGAGTGCATGCATAATCGTACTCTGCCCTGATTAGATCACCACGACTGGCGGGTAGCAAAGTGGTACTCTTGACCTACTACGTCTTAGAAGAGCACAGAATCACGCAGGTTGACTTACATTATCCCATACTTATTTGGCAAGAGCAAAGACTCTATGGCTTTATATCTAATCTGCAAAAACCACTCTTTTGCCACGGTGATTTGGTTGGGTAGTATTGCAGCGCCTCTCGCAAAGCCCACCATTCCATGCAGCCGTTGTATGCCCGACCAGCCAGATGCGCATTTTTTTTCTTGAGTTATGAACAGCAAAGATCGACGCACGGCGGCTAAGCGGCAAAATGAAAGGGGACTTCGTAAATACCGAGCCACTCAAAGAAGCTCGACAGTGTTGAGGTAGAGCGCAGCAGAAGCGTAGGTCCCAAGACACAGCCCTTGCACAGCCCTCTACTCAAAGATCTTTCTTGCTGTAACCTTGTGCCCCAATAAGGGTCTAGTAACATGCAAACTAATTTCAAACTGCACTTATACTAGAGGAATGTAGGAATGCGAATTACTCAAGTTCATATATCGGCAGAAGCGCTATCTCTCTTTGGAGAACGAACTATAGCAGGAATATCCGCTCCAATTGAGATTCCAACATAATGGCTTTAATTGGTATTGTTCTGCCCTAGGTATTAGAATTTAAATTGACCAGGTTTAACACGAATTAGTTAGGAGGGCGACTTTGAAACAGAAGGAACGGCTGTTTAGAACATCGGAGTCTACATTGCATCCAAAACGGCAGGTGATGCGTGTATTTAGGTAGGCCCTATCGGCGGTTTTGTTGATGATATTGAGGTCCCCTGTGAAGGTTGTGATGGCAGATTTGGAAGTCCGGTCGTCAACCATTGAGCGTGGAGACATTTGACGGAGAGAACTCATTCCACTAATTGCTGTTGGAAATGTCCGGACTTACAGAGGTGAATGTCGGACTTAGGCAATGCCGTATGCGGGATGTCTAACCCCTCTGGCCAAAGGTCAGAATCTGAAGTCTGTCTTCTCGAGGCAGCCCAACCGCGATGTGACTGGCCCGTCATGTCTTCTTCAGTTCCCCGGCTACCCCTACGGTTGTTTCCCAAGGAATCCCGACTCGAGGAACCTTGGCTCGAACAGTATGGGTATGTGTGTAATTTACCCTCTTACAGAAAGCAGACGAGGCTAGATTGGATGGAGAGCCCTGTTGGTAGCATCGCGGCAAATTAGGGCCTTACTAGGGTTTGAGGACATGAACATATAGTTTAGTATGGAGTAGCATTATTCAATGAGGGGTTTTGCGTCATAAGCGGGGTCAGTTTGTTTCTCTCGATACATAAGGCAGGCCCACGTTTATATACCAGACATTCAACACACTTTTGCTGAGCCGTCCTTCGTATCGTCAATTTCTGTCACCTTCTGGATTGAACTGAATCTAATTAAGATGTCTGAACTGGCTGGGAAAATCACCCTCCTGGTATTACTTCACTGACCTCATTCCGTTCGACGAGCACGTACTTACATTCATCTAGACCGGTGCATCTATGGGCATTGGTGAAGCTATCGCGCACGAGCTCGCCACCGCAGGAAGCCACCTAATCCTGGTGTCGCGATCTCAGGTGGGCAACAACTCGGTCCAACGAGCTGGTGCGAGCGTGGAGTAACTAACAGTTCATGCTAACGTCGTGCCTTGAACTAGGACAAACTATCCGCTTTGGCCAAGACTCTCACCGACAAGCACAGCTCAATCAAAGTTATCGTCAAGGCCGCAGACATTGGCGACTACGGCGCCGTCGACAAGGCCGTAGAGTCTGCCATCGCCGAGCTCGGCCAGATTGACATACTCATCAACAACGTACGTCTGATTTCATGGTCCAACAAATTCAACCAGGATGCGCTGATTGCTTTAGGCTGGGCTTGCTCTTGGGGCCCCGGCGGCCTTCCAAGACCTCAAGATCAACGACATCGCCACCATGAACAACACCAACATCAACGGCCTCATGTGGGTCACCCACGTCGTGCTCAACCGATCCTTCATGCCCCGCAAGGCCGGCACCATCCTTAACATCACCTCAGTCACCGGTCTGGAGGTGCCTCCGTTCTCCGGAGAGTCCGTGTACCACGCCAACAAAGCCTGCCAGGAGGGGTTCACGAACGCCCTACGCAACGAGCTCAGCCAGACTAACATCAAGGTCCTGGCTCTGCGCCCCGGATGCGTCGCAACCAACTTCCACTCTCTACGCGTGGGCCACGACAAGAAGATGTACGATTCATTTTTCGAGGGTTTCGAGTAAGCATCATACCTTCTTCCGACTGATGAAAGGAATTATGTGAAGCTTGGCTGCTGATCGTGCCAGGCCTCTGTTGTCCGAGAGCGTTGCCAATGCCGCCATCTACATGCTCAGCCAACCTCCGAATACCTCCATCAAGGCTCTGGATGTGGTTCCAACTGGTATGTTTTGGGCTTTATCTTCATCAGCCATCTCCGTCGTGTTCCCAGGAGATGACCTGCCCAGCTATACTGCAGTTGAGAGTTGAGATAGGCTCTTGGATTTCTGTGGTTGGACTTATATGGCTTAGCTACTAACGAATGGTGCAGCCCAACGCTCGCTCAACGTCTTCGATCGCACATGGAATGACCGCAACAATGATCGCTCAGCTATCAACTCAGATAACAGCTAGATGCTGCATTGGGTGTATATACTAGTTACCAGACTGGATGGGCAAAACGTCCCGTCTGAGGATGGTGATACCACACTTAAGTGTGTTATGTCGAAGATATCGGGCGCTGGCGCCTCATCTCGATCCCGGTTTCTTCACACGCAACCTAAGAGTCTCTGAAAAGTTTGCCCTCATTCATCATGATATAACTCTTGATGTGGAACTAAAACCATCCGCTTTTGCGTGTCGTGACACGAGGTTGGGGTTGATCTCCTGACGTCTCGGCGACCTATTGTGGTAGGGCAACTTTCAATGATCGGTTCAGCTTAGGGGTTAATACAGAAGTCTATCGGCATCGGAATAAAGGTCGTTTCGGGAGTCGGGTTTGGCAACGATCTGAACCAATAATCATGGTCTGTATTGGAGCATAAACAAGAGTGATGCCGATAACGCTCTTAGGCAGTAATGCGGCATAGCAGAGTTGTCATAAGATCGTGAAATGGATACTGTCTAGACAAGGCGGAACGACTTCATGATCAATGGCGATGACATGACTGTGATTAGTACTTCCAGGGTAGTTGGCTAGACTGATTCAAATGATACATACTGGGCAGGGAGGTGACTGGCAGTTATTCGAACAAAACACCAAGAAGCTCGTAGCGATTCATATCAGTCTATTATCAGAAAAGCCCACCCAGGAGACTACGACGCGTATTTGTGAGTGAGTCCATGGGGTCCAGATGTACGTCCAACAAAGGCTCTTGCTTTTGTATTATTAGGCTTCTAGGCAAAAGGTTAACAACGAACAAACGAAAGTATCAAATTCAGCATAACTAGTCTGGATTGATTTCAAAGACAAGTATCATTTATAGTAGGCTCAAAGTCTAAGCGTTGTTAAATTTCCAAAAACCCCCCCTATATACCTACCAGTTGATCGCCAGGGTGCATAGGGTTAGTCATACGTATTGTGAGCTCAACGAACTGCAAATAAAAGCCCTCCGTCTCTTTACCAGCAATAATGCTGTCTCCCGTCGGCTTGATGAGAAGCACCGGAACATCAATTGCAAAACCATTAGTTTCTACTTGTCTCTTCTCATCATTGAAGTTAAACTTCTTGTTTCAGTACTAGTTCAAAGGCCCATCCATTCTGTGGCGGTTATACTTATTAACATAGTATTCAAATTCCTCAGCACTCTGAGTCTCTAGATGGCTAAGAAATAAGAGCTTGTCGGGCAAAAGACCCTCGGCGAGAGAAACCCAGCTCGCCGGCTTGTGATTTACCCCAGAATAAGGCGCTAAAGAAAAGCGCCAGCCCTGCCTTCCCCCTGATTCCTTGTTTAGTCTGTGTTTCTGCGGAATTACAGCTGATATCCGGAATAAGGCTCGCCTTCTGACTCAACGAGCTCGTCTAGATCATTGTATTCTGTGAGGAATAAGCTAAACTAGGGCTGTCAATAGATTCATCTGATTTAAAGTCTTGAAGACTATCTGAGGAGTGACTATGGACCCGCCTCAGAGAAAGAGGCGGAGGATGTGGTTTTGTATGCCTCTCGCACGTAATTTTGATCCGGGGGACTAAGGCCTCCTGTAGCGTACTGCGTATACCCATTACGGAAGCCTGTGCTCTGTCTCCTCAACAACATCGTCTTTATCATCTCCTTGCATCATCTTCGAAGCCAGCATCGGGGTAGTTCTGTTCTCTGTGTAGCCACTGGGAGGTAGATGTTAGTATAGCCTCAATCACCAAAAGATTGGTATAAGCTTCTTGCCAACTTACAAGATGATATCAAACTCTTCAAGAGTCTTTCCCTTGGTCTCGGGAAGGAAGAAGAAGGCCCAGATGGTAGCGAGAAGCATCCAGCAAGCAAAGAAGAACCAAGTCCCGTAATTGAAAGACGCAAAAATGTAAGGCAGGGCCTTCGTGAGCACAAATTGAACAAGCCTAACAGAATAGTTGTCAACAAGAATCTCGATGCAGACAGTTTTGGGGGCAAAGCGTGCTGGGCCGGCTTACCATTGGCACAGGGCTGCCCATGTTCCCGTTAAGTTACGGAGCGCTCCAGGGAAGATCTCGGCCGAGACGATCCAGGGAATACCATTAAGACCAAACGACCAGAACACACTATATATCATGATCATAGCTGTTGCAGCCTTTCCACCGGCCGCAGTTGAAGGCGAGAGCTCCTCGCCAGCCTTGATGATGTCGGCTGGGTGGCCAATTTTGACGTACGCGCCCACAAACCACAGGCAGAGGGAGCAAGCCAGGGACGAGATAATAGTCGGGTTTCTACGACCCCAGATGTCGATCAGAGCGCCATAGAATATGATTGAAGCCACCGCCTTAACCAGGCCGTAGATTCCGGTCCACAAGCTCACGTCGGTGATACCAAGAGAACCAAAAAGTGTGGGCGAATAGTAGTTGATCGCTTTCAAGTTTACAAATGTCAGTAAATGCCATGTTCAAAAGAATGCAAACTTCAAATTGACGTACCAGCTGCGCCAGACATGTTCTGGAGTGCAAAGGAACAAAAGACCAGCAGAACACGGTTCCACATTCCCTTGCGGGAGAGTTCGAACAGGGCACCGCGGAAGTATGACCATGAACCAGAACCGTACTTTTTGGCAATGAGAGCTTCTTCTTCGAGCCTGATGCGGATTTGGAGAATCTCTTCTTGGAGGTCTATTACGATTAACACCAATCTCCTTCTAGGGAACTACCAGCATTCAACAAATATAAACCTACATTGGTGGTCTGATGGGAGTTGACGCAAATCCTGCAAGGCTTGCAACGCCAGATCATCTCGATCGTTTCGGAAAAGCCAGAGCGGGCTTTCATGAAGGAACCACCCAAAAATGAGCAGCAAGCCGGAAGGGATTATTTGCACCGCCATGGGGATCCTCCAAGTCGCCGTAGAGGTGAGATCCATGTTGACGTTGATGCCGTAATTGATCCAAAAACCAATGAGAGAACCAGACTGGTATGTGACTTCAAACAAGCCGGTCAGGATGCCTCTAATGGATGTAACTGAAATCTCGGCGATGTAAGACGGGACGGTGGCGGTGATGGCACCACAGGCCAAGCCCGTGAGAACACGTCCAGCGTCTAAACACGTCAGCCACTCTCTACACGACGGGCAGGGAGGTTTAAGCTCACAGATGAATGATAGCTGGTTTGTTGCAGCAGTCATAATGATGGCGCCGACCATGAAGACGACGTTTGCGATTTGAAGTGCCCACTTTCGACCAAGCTTCTCCGTGACTGCCCATAGACCACGTCAGGAAGGTATGTCAAATGTAAGATTCTGGTGATTCTTACTGAGAAAGCAGAATATAGCGCCGAAGAAAGCTCCCGCTTGGAATGAAGCGGTGATATTGCTTGAGATGTTGTTGGCCTCGGGGCCGTAGACGTTGAAATCATCCTTGAAGCTCTTTCTTGCGATCGTGGTACCGATGAAAGCTGAGTCGTAGCCAAACCTAGCCGAAAAGTCAATGTCAGTGTTACCCAGTCTCTCTCAGAATTATTCGGTGAATGGACTCACAGGAAAGAACCAGTCGCAATCACCGAGGCCTCGAAATACAGCCTCCAGTTGTACACCTCCTTAGGTGTAGGCCGATCCTCCACAGCGCGGAACATGGTTCGGAAGAGATGTCGAGGAGCCCGACTCTATGGCCACAAACTGTCTAACTGAGCAAAAAAAGACAATTTCGATTAACGTTAGGGAGTCATTCCGGGGTCGGACCTCTGTATTTATCCAATGCTACATTCTCCTAAGCAATGTGCGGGGGAGGGGAAAGGTCGCTTTTAGCCGTCGCTTCAACCCCAAGTTGAAATGATCCCTGCCGAATGGGCGGAAAATCTGGAGGAGAAGCAACTTGGAGTGGAGTAAGTTGTCAATTTGAGTGGTTTAACCAGCCTCATGACCACGGTTTGTTTTCCGACGGGCGGAAATGGGTCGGTGAGTCGGCGCTGATCGGCCAGACCGAGCGACTCGGACCGGCAGATGGATGTTGGAGTTCAAGCTTGGAGGCAACCATATGCATGAGACTTGGGGAGCAAGGCGTTAAATTCGTTCAGTTTCGGTGGAAATGGAGAGCTTGTTGGTTGGGGATAGTAGTTGTCGGTACTCAATCGGTAAAGGGACGTTCTTGAGCCGATGTCTGCACAGAGAACTAGGGAGGAGAGGCTCGATAGATATCTTGCTGCGCAACAAGAGCTTATCTTTTCTCAACTCAGAAAGTATGGTATTAGGTATCTCTGTGACAGATCTCCAAGGCAGTGGTGAACCTGAATACCCTCGGAGAAACCTCCGAAACCTGACAGTTGAGTACATTCTTGAGAGATAAAGGCACAACTAACGAACACTGCAATTAAAAGACAAGGCAAATTGAAGCTGTTAATTTCGCGCAAACAACCTTTCATTTTGAACTGAGTCAATTTCCATCTTGGATATGAGTGTTTTCGGGATGTTCGTTTGATTTCGTTCAAGCTAAGTGAGGATGAGAAGCGTGGGGCTAAATCGAGCCCAAGACAGGCGGGCACGAATCTCCCTGAACTTGACACTTTCTTTTGTAGTTGCCCCTTTAGAATACTTTAATTAAGAATGATTAAGAGGGGAAATGGTAGCGAGGATGTCTGTAGCAATAAAGAAAGGATGTAGTGAGCAAATAACTTGGTAAAGTTTTCACCTGAGAAGGTTACGGGGATACTAAGACCTAGTCTTGCAGCAGATTTTTGTAAGCGAGAGTCCAAAAATAGATTAGAAAGGAGAAAAACAGCAATTTAATTCCAGGTCTACCATTGGGAGGGCAAAGAAGGAGACAGAAAATGTGAGGGCCGACATCTAGTTCATGCGGCACGGAGATCGCCGGGTACCTTGCAGGACCAGAGGTAGAGGATGGGCCATTGGGGTTCTAGTAAATTCAAAGACACCCACTCTCACATGTTAAGAAGGTACGAGAGCTAAAGATCTGATTCGAAAGTTACTTGAAAAAAGAAGCTACCTGGGATAAGCAGGTTCGGACGGCGGCCGCCACTCTGCAAGTGGCCTAGCAAATTAATAAGATAGCGTCAAATGGTGAAACAGTTGTTGGACGCTTGTACTTGTCCCGCAAATAGCACGTTCTAATTAGGAGGAGCTGTTTGATCAATAGGTTCAATGGTTTTCAGAACATGAGTAGGGCGTCTGACGCTCATGCTTGGTGATAGACTGCCACTCGACCATAAATCTACTGAAAGCAAAAGACAAGTCCTGACTTCGTCAAACTTGATCAAGAATTAAACAAACTTTTCACTCAATACAAAAGAGCAACATAAGGTCAGGCATCTTGATCCGTTGTGGCGTTCCTCGGCTACAGTGAGAACCTTGATGTCCATCAGCTTGGCCTCATTTTCACCCTCCACTACCAAACTGAACTTCCCAGATTGGCGATCGGGCCCGCAGAAGCCGCTCGAAAACTAAAAAGAGCGTAATATTAACCTTACTTGGACGAATCTAATGATTTTGTTCCCTTGAATCTTGCATTGCCAAGATGCAACGACCCACGCCCATCAGGTGCGGTCGGCCCCTACTTACATGCATCGTACCAACCATCAGCATGGGGAGATCCCAGTGGTGGACTGACCACCCACCCATCAAGTGACTCCAGATGGGATTTCATCGGGGATGCCAAGATCGGGTACAGCTGAATGCATCAGACCTGCTGTAAATTGCAGTTGGGCGGGACCTAGCCGCATATTGGTGGGTAGGCCTTCGTATAAAGTTGAGCTCTGGTCTTCTTGCAAACTGGCTGCGGCTCTTTTCTGTCCCTACAGCTCCAGCATATTCATTGACAATCAGCCTACATTCGTTTGGCTCTTGTTTGTTCTTTCGGAAGTACAACTGATTCTCTCACCCACTCACTCAACTCAACAACAACCAAAATGAAAGCCGCTCAGGTCGTCGCTCTCCTTGGACTTGGGTCCTTTTCGTATGCTCAGGTACCTTCTCCTACTGAGTCAATTGGATGTGAGCCCCATGGTGATCACTGGTTAGTAAAAAAAAACCACCTCCCACCCTGATATTCAGTAGGTCAAGTGAAATAAATGAGATGGAGACTTACATTGCCGCCCTTTTAGGCACTGCGAGGGACCTCGCCCTACTTCAGCCGCTGTCAGCTCTGCTGTGAGCTCTGCTGCCGACCCTGGCCCGTCTCCCACCGAGTCTGTCGGATGCCAGCCCCACGGTGATCATTGGTGAAGATGATTCCTAACCTATAACACATCCCGTATACACTCACTAACCATCGAACTAGGCACTGCGAAGGCCCTGCTACCTCTGCTGCTGTCACTACCTCCGCCAGCGAAGACCATGATCACGACCACAGCTCTACTGTTGATCCTGGCCCATCTCCTACCGAGTCTGTCGGTTGCCAGCCCCATGGAGACCACTGGTGAGAAGATCAAGACCCTCTGCTCTAGCTACTGACTTGTAATCTATGTCATAATAACTAACAACGACCTACTTCTAGGCACTGTGAGGGTCCTGCCGTGACCTCTGGCGCCTCCTCTAGGGCTCCCTCTAGCTCTGCCGCTGCTGTCACAACCACCTCTGCCGACCACGACGACCACAGCCATGGTTCCGCGACCCCTACCAAGCCATCCCCCACTGAGTCCGTTGGCTGCGAGCCTCATGGTGACCACTGGTAAGATAACTTGCCCTCCCTTATATAGCTTTCATGTCTACTGAAGCACTGCTTCGTCCTACACAATGGGATAGCTGGCTAACATACTCTCCAGGCATTGCGATGGCCCTCGTGTGACCTCCAGCGGCCTCACTTCCAAGGTTTCCAGCATCCCTACTCCCAGCAGCAACGGTACCATCACCACCACCGTTCCCACCGCCATGGCTGCCGGTCTCTCCACCTCAAGCTTCGGCGTTGTCGCCCTGGCCGGTACCTTTGCCGTCCTGCTCGCACTTTAAGCTGTCAGAGTACCGGAAGCCTATCTCTTGTTCATCACTAGAGGCTCTCCAGGCCAGCTGGCAATTATGTCTACGTCTTGCTGGGGGGTCACAAATGTTAATATTAGGATATGAACTGGCTATTTGGGCTTGTATCACTTTATTTTCTCTTCACTCCGAATCTTCCACGATGCGATGTTCTAAACGCAAGTGTAATGCAGGTATTAATGTGTGTCAATGTGTGCGTCGTTGAGGATACTTCCATAAACTTAGGTAGTCTGAAATCCTACCATCAATCACTAGATCGATGGACTACTACGTCTCCTTTAATCATTGTATTAAGAAATTCTCAAAGAGAATATAGTATGATTCGTTTTCGTTGGCGCTTTTTGGAGCTTTCTCTCCTTAATTGCCGTGTTCAACCAGGCCTGCTGATCATTTCTCCAACCATGCATGCTACCACATACCAGGAGGCATTTATCATATCAAGTTGAGGCTCGAAGAGAATGCACGGCTACGGCAATGCGAGTTTCACGAGAGATGTAGTGGAGGCAAGGCGTAGACAAGGAATGGGTGGTGTCCTGCCGGAATAACACGACCCTCCCGGCCCGCGGGATAGCCTCCATCACATTATTTATACATCATCTCTTTGAATATTCGAGACTAGTTAGTGGAGAAGAGGTAATGTGTATGGCCCCCCTGGACCTAAAGAGGGTCCGTAGCGGAGATGTCTCAAGGCCATCGCCAATTTAGACATTCCGAACCTGCTGCCATCACATTCTCAACATACAGCATCGTCCGATCGCAGACTACTGATGCTGCTACGAACTCCATCTCGGACTTCTCAGGGGATAGATAGATACGATGTATAGACGAAGTCAGCTAAGTTGATCTCAGGATATTTAAGTCGAGCGAATTCCCCCGTCAATCCCATCCTACTCAACTCATCCACTCACTCACAAACACATATCACAACCTACCAATTACTCTACAATCCCTCCAAAATGCGTTTCACAAAGTTTTTCGCCGGCGTCACTTTCGCTCTGTCTGCAAGCCAGGCTCAGGCGGCTGTCAGCCCAGGTGAAGTCGCGGAGACCTTTGAGCGTCTGACCAATATCGCCAGCGACATCATCCAGACGGTTGCGAGTCTGGATAGTACAAAGATCATTACAAGTGTCCCAGTATGTGCTTTAATATTAACACCCATGGAAAGATCGGAAGCTAACTATCGTGGTGCAGAGAATCGCAGGCGAGTTTGGTCAGCTAGTTGAGGGCGTGTTCGACGCTATCGATATTGTCGGGAACCCCGACCAGTTTAAGGACATTGGGAAGAGCGACCAGGATAAGATCTGCGACGCCCTTGAGAACGTGAGAGATGACCATAAAAATCCGATTCTTCATCTTGCTGACAATAATACCCCAGTTTGTTGACAAGGCGCGCGACGCCGTCGACTCCATCATCGGAAAGGACAGCATCATCGGCCGAACACCCTTCGTGAGCATCATCGCCAATATTCTGAGCGTTGCTGCTGATGCCCTCGAGTCGCTGGCCCGTTCGGCCGTCAAGATTGTCCCCGGATGCGAGGAACGCATCGAGAAGAAGCTGGATCTCTTGAAGAACTCTTTCGGTCAAGGCGTTACCAACTTCCGCGCCAAGGCTGTTGAGCAGGGTGGTAGCCCGGTCTCCCTCCCTACCCGTATTCCTACCGCTGTCCCTACTGCTGCTCTTTCTTCTCTTATCGATCTCGCCACTAAAATCACTCCCGCTGCTTCTTCTCTCCCCAAGATCAACCTCCGCGCCGAAGCTGTGGAGCAGGGTGACAGCCCCATTTCCATTCCTACTGGTATCCCTACTTCTGTTCCTACCGCTATCCCTACTGCTGCTCTTTCTTCTCTTCTCGATCTTATTGAATCTAAAATCACTCCCGTTGCTTCTTCTCTCCCCAAGATTACGGGTGGGCCTGTCCCCATTCCTTTCCAGGCTTAAGAAAGCTTGTGAGGATGGCAATGGCACATCGTGTCCATTGTCCTGGAGGTGGGAGCTGAGCAGACGAGCCTTAGATGAGGGAAATTTACGGGTGTATTGAGGTGTGAAAAAGCTTTTACTTCTTGAGAACTTATCATTTGGAGAAAATGGAGAGTGAAGTATGGAGGTTATCCCCGAAAATCACAAGGTGAACAAGTGCAAGCACAGTTTTGCTACTAGTATCGAAATAAAATTTCTTTCGCCTTCGCATTTGAATCATTTATCAGCATGCGTAAATATCGTGAGATCACCTCAAACCATGTCGGCTTCTTCTTAAACGTGGTCCTTCGCAATGGTGAATGACATCACCGAAACTCTCACCGAGCTCCTTCCCTCGTTGCGCTCACCGTCCACCTCGACTTACCTCTCAGCAGGCGCGTGTCACAAACAACACCAGCCCCGCGAGCTGTGTGCGCATCATGTGCCGCCTGTGACGTCTGCACTATGCTTCCCATCAGTCGTTCTACCTCTCACCCACCCTCACTATCTAGACTATGTTCCTATAACCTCGCATCGCGCCGCACCACAAGTTATCAAGTTCCTTACAACGAATCTAGCAACCATGACTTCCACCAAAACCGCATCGGAGCCTGCCAAATTTGGACCGCAGCCCAACATCGTTGGGCCGGTTCATCGCGATGATCCCGGTTTGTCGCCGCTTCACCTCTTCATCTACGTAGCGCCCTTCAAACCGTTCTAACAGCCATCCAGCTCCATCCCAAAGTCTGCTCGATAGCCATCGCAAATTTGCAGCAAATTACACAGCGCCAAGCAAAGAAACCGCCCACAACGCCGCCAATGACCCGCGACAGGTTTGTCCAGTCTCTGATTTCGTTCATCTCTGATGCCGCAGTTGACTGACAGAGTTGGGTTGCAGAATCGAGTTCTAGGTGGCGGCGCGCGCACCCCACGGTCACTCGCTGCTCAAATCCAACGCCAAGTCGAACGTAATGAGGCGACGAAATAGCTGGAAGCTTTCACCTATGGTCAGAAGAGCGATAATAGCGGGGAAGGGAGATTGTAAGGGCTTTTAGGTCGGGCAATGCCTTGAATCTGGGTTGGGATTCACGCGTTTCCCAGTGTGAATTTACTCCCAAATCACATGGAACCGAGGGGCCAACTGCTGTGGTATTTCCCTGAGATTAAAAGCTTTGCAAAAAGAATTACGTCAATGTCAAAGTGCGATGATCGGTGACGTCTGGTGCTCGATTACTGGTTTTTGCTATTCGGCGAGCCTTTTCCATGCTACCTCGTAATAAATAACAACATCTAATTATCCCACTTTCCAGCACCACAGGTTCCCAACCGTTATGTCAATTTTAAATGAGGGAGTGATCGCACTGTAGCTGGAGTCAGACTGTCAGTTGACAGACGGGCAAACAACACGGCATCATGGGAGGGAGGGAGCGTAGTTCATTTGAGTGGTTCTCCGTCACTTAAGAGAGGAGGCTGGTAATGGGACCCGAGCATGAACGGACTTCCAAATAGCGTCCTGGCAAAAGATATTGCAATCCCACTGCAGTGCGATCTCGGTCTTGACTCGTTTTATCATTGCCCAAGGAGGTAGGTGTCGCAGAATCCAGGCATCTGCGCGCTCTCCGATGCCTTCGACCGGAATGTTGATGTGGGAACATGTCGTCGGTCTATCTTATCGCCGACAGCAGGAAGGAGCTCAAGTCGCTGGTCTTCACGCATGTACCTGCCCTTCTCTTGCGCCATCATCTTTGTCTACCTATATCAGATAATGCAAGCAGACGCCTGCTATTCAATCTATCTATGTTACCATCTCTTCAGGATGGCCTTTTCGTTCTCTCGACGGTCCGTCTTACGAACACTACGGCGCCGATTCTCGCCGGCCGTGATCCTCCTCCCAAGCCAAGCAAGCTCCGGCCATGTCTCAGATCCAAGATATGCCGAATGGCAGTTTGGCGTGTACCTCAAGGGATGGCAACAACCTGACCAAACTTCAGACGTCAATACTATAGCGAGGTCGCAAATGTCTCGGGGTCTGTGTGTCTCTATCTTCTGCGGTGCTCTCATTCAGCGATGAACCAAACTCTATCTACTCTCCAGCCCCTCGGTATCGAGGAAGGCAGGACAGGCCACCTCGCCCTTGACATGCCTGGAATGGCGTCCATGACCTCACATCGTCTTCCAGTTCCCGATGCCGCTTCTACCTATCTGCGATTGCATCGCTCCCTTTTCTCGTGCGGCAGCATCAGCAAGCCCTTTCTCCTTCGCAAAATGCTCCCGGTTACAATGTCGGTCCTTCTCCTGCGTACAATCTTTCGGTCATCCTTCTCCAGGTAGAGCAGGATAGGCCTGCTATGGCTGGTGACAATCAATTCGGCCCTGGGCTTGTTGACACTTTTGACTTAACTCTTTTGTTCGAGCAGAGCTTTTTTTCCTTGCTTCCAGCGTCAATATTTATCGTCTGTGGTATCCTTCGAATTCTACTTATCAATCACAGAGAGCGCACTTCGTTCAAGGGGCGTTTGCTCTGGGCTAAGCTGGTAAGTCCCAAGACGTGTTGGTTTTTTGAGCTTGGGCTGTGGCTGATCGATGGGCGTGGAATAGTTCTTGACATCAATATACGGAGGCGCACGACTTTCATTGCTTGTATTATGGATATTTGGCTCCGGTCCAAAGGTTCGGACGTCCGTCGCCGAGTCTGCTGTGGGCATCGTCGAGGCCATCGTTATCGCCGCCCTCTCCTTGACCGAGCACGTGCGATCGCAAAAGTCTTCATTGCTACTGGGCGTCTACCTATTTCTTTCATTGCTATTACATATTCCTATCGCCAGATCACTCTGGATAAGAGAGAATACAGTATTTCTTGCCAGTGTCTTCACATTTCTGCTCGTGGTCAAGGCTGTTCTTCTCGTGCTCGAAGAAATCCCGAGGTCGAGCGTGATGGCTACCTCTAGAGAACATGGAGGAGAATTCTCGGCAGGGCTGGTTAGCAGAACACTTTTCTGGTGGCTCAACCGTTTGTTCTACCTTGGGTTTCGGCGTGCTATTGATGTTGACGACTTGGGGGATATCAATGACAAATTCGATTCTCATGCGTTATTGGAAAGGCTCGAGACACGTTGGAACCAAGGTTAGTGAAGCATCACCACATACAACCAGGCCTACCAAGTGCATTTGGGACTGACCTTTCATGAAATAGACCCCCAAACAAGCAAGACGGCTTTGATGAGATGCACCTTTGCGGCATATAAATGGCAGTTCTTCGCAGGAGTTATCCCTCGACTCATGTACAGTGGGTTTGGGTTCGCGCAACCGTTCCTCATTAGTTCAGTCATCGCCCATGTGCGAAGTCCACAACGAGACTTCGCTTCTCAAACGTCCGGTATCCTGATTGCGGCCACTGTCTTCATTTACGTCGGCCTAGCTCTTACCGCCACCTGGCATAGGCACCTTTCGTACCAGCTGGTAACCATGTGGCGCGGCGGACTCGTGTCGCTGATATTCAAAAAGACTTTAAGTCTAAGAACCTGCTGTGCGGAGGAAAGTGCGTCGATCACGCTGATGTCGACAGATATTGATTCAATCGTCACCGCTGGAGAGTCTCTCCATGATATGTGGTGCAGCTTCCTCGACCTCGGGATTGGTATCTGGCTTCTCTATTGTCAAATTGGCCTTCCAAGCCTCCTTGTATTGGTTCCCACAACATGTACGACACATTCCCGCGAAATTTATACGTCGTATGTACGAATTTAACATTTCACAGTCACCACGGTCCTCAGTGCTTTCATTGGCCCAGCGATGGAGCCAGCCCTCGTGGATTGGAAAGCAGCAATCCAGAGGAGAGTAGCCAAGGCATCTGACATGCTTGGCCAAATGAAAGGCATCAAGATGATAGGGCTCACAGCCTTTTTTCACTCTCTGGTCCGCACATTGAGACTAGATGAGATCAAAATTTCCTATCGTTTTCGATGGCTGCTGGCCGGCATCATGATCTTATGTAAATCACTCCACAAACCTAGGTTCGTACTTTATTTTTGCTAACGTGGCTCCCAGCAACCTTCTCCTCTGAGATCACTCCGGTGTTGATTATTCTTTGTGCGAAATACTGGCCCAACGTGCGCCACTCACTCGACATTAGCAAAGCTTTCACCTCACTTGCAATAATTTCTCTGGTTACACAGCCTCTTGTATTGATCCTTACTTCCATAATGCAAATAGCCGGTGTCTTTGGAAGTTTCTCGCGCATACAAGAGTTTCTTCATCTGGATGAGCAGGAAGATTTCCGCGGAACGACTCCGGTCGCCTCCATGAGCTCTGGATCAACTCTCAGATGTTCTAGTGAATCGACTCTGGGTACCATTGCCCCTTCGGAAGATCAGTCGATAGAGCTTTCTCCCCCGGGATCCCAGATACAAAATGACACAGAAGCTAACACACTGGCTATAACGATCAGCCACGCAAGTTTTCAAAGCGATGATGGTCTTCCCGTCCTTCATGATATCCATTTGAAAATACCACAAGGGGCGTTCACTATCATCACTGGCCGGGTCGGCTGTGGCAAAACCTCACTTCTCAAAGCGATTGTAGGGGAGATAGTCCCAGGAACTGGGTATGTCTCTGTGTTGGATCACTGTGTCGGATACTGCGACCAGACTCCGTGGGTTCAAAACACCTCCATCAAAGCTAACATTGTCGGTCAATCTCCCCTGGACGACAAATGGTTCTCTCAAGTGGTGCAATGTTGCGCTCTTGATGAAGATCTCGCAATGTTTCCTCTAGGTGATCAAACCTTTGTTGGGTCGAATGGCGTCGCTTTGAGCGGGGGGCAGAGGCAGCGTGTGGTAAGTAGTCACTCCTCAACGCCCATCTCATGAGATGACAGATCAGAACAATAATTCTCACCTTAATTCATCATAGGCATTGGCTCGAGCCATTTACCAAAAACGGGACATTCTAATTCTTGATGATATTTTCAGTGGAGTTGACAATAGGACCTCTCGGAACATATTCCATCGTCTGATGGGCCCAAGTGGCCTCCTTCGCCAAAACAAGACGACCATTGTTCTTGCTACAAGTAATGGTTTGTGCATCGCCTTTCGACTTTTTTGTTAATCCTGACTGATCCCTGAGTAGTCCACTTCCTACCCGGGGCCGACTACATCACAATCCTCCGACAGGGTAGCATTATCCGCAACCAAGTGACTTACCAGAGTCTCCAAGCTGATGAATGGGGCACCTTTGACGATGAATCTTCCATGTCAAATGACGGCGACGACGATGGCGATGACGCAAAAACCGTCAGGCCGGCACAAGAGCCCGAAGAAAAGGCTGAGAAAGCCACGCCGACTCCTGACACTGACAACACTCGCCAAACCAGCGATTCGGAATGCTACAAAATCTACCTCAATTCATTTGGATGGAAACTCTTAATTCCAGTGCTTGGACTCAAGCTACTACACACTGCCCTCGAGGCAATGCCCCGTAAGTTATATTCTCGAAGATTGATGTACTGATTTCTTTGCAATCGAAGTTGACGCGGATGGCTCAGAGGTATATTTGAAATTGTGGACGGAAAGATCAACCCACGAAGGGCCGCAAAGTATAGGCTGGCCCCTTGGCTATGTCAGCTTTGTTTGTGCCTCAATCATCTTTGCAAGCTTAGGGATAGGGTAAATGAGATCTTCCCTGTTTTTATGCCGGCGGCTGAGTCTAATCATATGTGTAGACTTTTCATCATTGTTGGGATTCCCAAATCAGCGGCACGTCTACACGAGAAACTTCTTCGATCTGTTTGCCGGTGAGTATTTATCACGTAAGGGGATGAAGATTCATACGCTCAAACGAAATCAACAGCGCACCTTTGTACTTTTTTGCGGCTACAGATAGTGGCTCGACAATCAATCGGTATGGCATTGCTGTATGGGACCTATTGCCGGCTGTACTAATGAAAACAACAGCTTCAGCCAGGATATGTCAATCTTAGACCAAACCCTC